TTGTTGGGTGATGGCCCCTGGCATTGGTGGGTGATGGTCCCTGGCCCCTGGTATTGTTGGGTGATGGTCCCTGGCCCCTGGTATTGTTGGGTGATGGTTCCTGACCCCTGGTATTGGTGGGTGATGGTCCCTGGCCCCTGGTATTGTTGGGTGATGGTCCCTGGCCCCTGGTATTGTTGGGTGATGGTCCCTGACCCCTGGTATTGGTGGGTGATGGTTCCTGACCCCTGGTATTGGTGGGTGATGGTCCCTGGCCCCTGGTATTGTTGGGTGATGGTCCCTGGCCCCTGGTATTGTTGGGTGATGGTCCCTGACCCCTGGTATTGGTGGGTGATGGTCTCTGGTCCCTGGTATTGTTGGGTGATGGTCCCTGACCCCTGGTATTGGTGGGTGATGGTCCCTGGCCTCTGGTATTGTTGGGTGATGGTCCCTGGCCCCTGGTATTGCTGGGTGATGGTCCCTGGTATTGCTGGGTGATGGTCCCTGGCCCCTGGTATTGGTGGGTGATGGTCCCTGACCCTGGTATTGGTGGGTGATGGCCCCTGGCCCCTGGTATTGGTGGGTGATAGTCCCTGGCCCCTGGTATTGCTGGGTGATGGTCTCTGGTATTGCTGGGTGATGGTCCCTGGCCCCTGGTATTGTTGGGTGATGGTCCCTGGTATTGCTGGGTGATGGTCCCTGGCCCCTGGTATTGGTGGGTGATGGTCCCTGGTATTGCTGGGTGATGGTCCCTGGTATTGGTAGGTGATGGTCCCTGGTCCCTGGTATTGTTGGGTGATGGTCCCTGGTATTGGTGGGTGATGTTCCCTGGCCCCTGGTATTGGTGGGTGATGGTCCCTGGTCCCTGGTATTGGTGGGTGATGGTCCCTGGTCCCTGGTATTGCTGGATGATGGTCCCTGGTATTGCTGGGTGATGGTCCCTGGCCCCTGGTATTGTTGGGTGATGGTCCCTGGTATTACTGGGTGATGGTCCCTGGCCCCTGGTATTGCTGGGTGATGGTCCCTGGCCCCTGGTATTGTTGGGTGACGGCCCCTGGTATTGTTGGGTGATGGTCCCTGGCCCCTGGTATTGTTGGGTGATGGTCCCTGGTATTGTTGGGTGATGGTCCCTGGTATTGTTGGGTGATGGTCCCTGGCCCCTGGTATTGTTGGGTGATGGTCCCTGGCCCCTGGTATTGTTGGGTGATGGTCCCTGGCCCCTGGTATTGTTGGGTGATGGTCCCTGGCCCCTGGTATTGTTGGGTGATGGTCCCTGGTCCCTGGTATTGTTGGGTGATGGTCCCTGGCCCCTGGTATTGCTGGGTGATGGTCCCTGGTCCCTGGTATTGCTGGGTGATGGTCCCTGGTCCCTGGTATTGCTGGGTGATGGTCCCTGGCCCCTGGTATTGCTGGGTGATGGTCCCTGGCCCCTGGTATTGCTGGGTGATGGTCCGTCTTCCCTGGTATTGTTGGGTGATGGTCCCTGGTATTGCTGGGTGATGGTCCCTGGTCCCTGGTATTGCTGGTGATGGTCCCTGGCCCCTGGTATTGCTGGGTGATGGTCCCTGGTCCCTGGTATTGCAGGGTGGTGGTCCCTGGCCCCTGGTATTGCTGGGTGATGGTCCCTGGTCCCTGGTATTGCTGGGTGATGGTCCCTGGCCCCTGGTATTGCAGGGTGATGGTCCCTGGTCCCTGGTATTGGTGGGTGATGGTCCCTGGTCCCTGGTATTGGTGGGTGATGGTCCCAGGTATTGCAGGGTGGTGGTCCCTGGTATTGCTGGGTGATGGTCCCTGGTCCCTGGTATTGCTGGGTGATGGTCCCTGGTCCCTGGTATTGCTGGGTGATGGTCCCTGGCCCCTGGTATTGGTGGGTGATGGTCCCTGGCCCCTGGTATTGCTGGGTGATGGTCCCTGGTCCCTGGTATTGGTGGGTGATGGTCCCTGGCCCCTGGTATTGGTGGGTGATGGTCCCTGGTCCCTGGGATTGGTGGGTGATGGTCCCTGGTCCCGGGTATTGCTGGGTAATGGTCCCTGGTCCCTGGTATTGGTGGGTGATGGTCCCTGGTCCCTGGTATTGGTGGGTGATGGTCCCTGGTCCCTGGTATTGGTGGGTGATGGTCCCTGGTCCCTGGTATTGGTGAGTGATGGTCCCTGGTCCCTGGTATTGGGTAATGGTCCCTGGTCCCTGGTATTGGTGGGTGATGGTCCCTGGTATTGCTGGGTGATGGTCCCTGGCCCCTGGTATTGCTGGGTGATGGTCCCTGGTCCCTGGTATTGGTGGGTGATGGTCCCTGGTCCCTGGTATTGGTGGGTGATGGTCCCTGGTCCCTGGTATTGGTGGGTGATGGTCCCTGGTATTGGTGGGTGATGGTCCCTGGTCCCTGGTATTGGTGGGTAATGGTCCCTGGTCCCTGGTATTTTTGGGTGATTGTCCCTGGTCCCTGGTATTGCTGGGTGATGGTCCCTGGTATTGGTGGGTGATGGTCCCTGGTCCCTGGTATTGGTGGGTGATGGTCTCTGGTCCCTGGTATTGGTGGGTGATGGTCCCTGGTATTGGTGGGTGAAGGTCCCTGGTATTGCTGGGTGATGGTCCCTGGTCCCTGGTATTGGTGGGTGATGGTCCCTGGTCCCTGGTATTGGTGGGTGATGGTCCCTGGTATTGGTGGGTAATGGTCCCTGGTCCCTGGTATTGGTGGGTGATGGTCCCTGGTCCCTGGTATTGTTGGGTGATGGTCCCTGGTCCCTGGTATTGCTGGGTGATGGTCCCTGGCCCCTGGTATTGCTGGGAGATGGTCCCTGGCCCCTGGTATTGCAGGGTGCTGGTCCCTGGTCCCTGGTATTGGTGGGTGATGGTCCCTGGTCCCTGGTATTGTTGGGTGATGGTCCCTGGTCCCTGGTATTGCTGGGTGATGGTCCCTGGTCCCTGGTATTGGTGGGTGATGGTCCCTACAAAAGTTCAAAGGGAACTCTTCCAGCGCTGAGCAGCTGGGTACGGGGCCTTTGTGTAGAGTTCTAATTCATTATATATTTCCTCTCTGATTCAGTAGATTGTGGGGGTTGGGAGAGTGCACAGGAGATGTTTAACTAGTTTTTGTGTCGCTTTAACCTTTAACCTTAACTACAAACTACATCCGCTGTGATGATCCGATATCCGGTTCTTGGGTGAGTAGTTAAATGGATTTCTTAAGGTGTTAAAGGGGTTAAACTTTCCCTCCTTTCCTATCGGGGCCTGAGGGTTGAGTGGACAGCGCTCGGGATTCGTAGTCCTGAGGTTCCGGGTTCGATCGCCGGTGGAGGCGGAAACAAATGGGGCAGAGTTTCTATCACCCTAATGCCGCTGTTCAGCTAGCAGTAAATAGGTACCTGGGAGTTAGACAGCTGCTACGGGCTGCTTCCTAAGGGGGGGGGGGGTGTAACAAAAATGAGGCCTGGTGGAGGACCGGGCCGCGGGGACGCTAAGCTCCGAAAATCATCTCAAGATAACATCAAGATAGCGTCAAGATAACATCAAGATAGCGTCAAGATAACATCAAGATATCAAGATAGCGTCAAGATAACATCAAGATAGCGTCAAGATATCCTCAAGATAACCTCAAGATAGCGTCAAGATAACATGAAGATAGCGTCAAGATAACATCAAGATAGCGTCAAGATAACATCAAGATAGCGTCAAGATAACATCAAGATAGCGTCAAGATAACCTCAAGATAACCTCAAGATAACATCAAGATAACATCAAGATAACATCAAGATAACCTGCCCTGCTCATGACTGAGGTAATCACCAGTTACAGAGTGTAGGTGTTGGAGGGGTGACCCAGATGATGTCGTCTCGGGTCCTCAAGGTCTCGGTCTTCACCCCCGACCACTGTTAGCAGAGGCTCTTATACCGACTCTTAATCGCTAAGAGCTTTTAAATTGTCGACTCGGCATTTTATTACCGAATTGGACGATTTGTTAGTAACACGCACGCACGTTTCACACACACACACACACACACACACACACACACACACACACACACACACACATTGACAGTTGAGAGGCGGGACCAAAGAGCCAGAGCTCAACCCCCGCAAGCACAAATAGGTGAGCACACACACACACACACACACACACACACACACACACACACACACACACACACACACACACACACACACACACACACAGAGTGGTTGACAAATGGAATGCATTAGGCAGTGATGTGGTGGAGGCTGACTCCATACACAGTTTCAAGTGTAGATATGATAGAGCCCAATAGGCTCAGGAACCTGTACACCTGTTGATTGACAGTTGAGAGGCGGGACCAAAGAGCCAGAGCTCAACCCCCGCAAACACAACTAGGTGAGTACACGGGTCCTGGCTGAGGAGTAGACAGCGCGCCAAAGGGCCCGGGTTCGAGGCTTGGCTGAGACAGAAACATATGTTCAGTTTCCCAAGGTAAGTAAATTATAAGGAGAAAGCGATAAGCCATTATGACTATATAGCACTTGGAAGGGATGTATAAGGATTTGTGATAGGATAGGTCTGAAACATTGGTGCCTAGCAACCTGGATGGTCGAGGATTGAACACGGACCAGTAAAAAGCCAGATCCAAGGTTATTATTGTTTTAAATAACCCAGCAGTGCTTCGTAGGTCATAAACTGTTTAATAAAGTCAAATAAAGCCGCCATGATTGAGCAAAGATGTACAGGTTTCGTAAGAGGTTGAGAAATCCTGGTCTCTTGTCCACATTTCTGTCTCCGTACACTTAGTGGTATTGCACTCCATTAGCCACTTCTTCGTCTAACTCTGCGGCCTATGTTACATTAACATGTAGGACTCGAACCCCCGTGGTTACGACCTTCCTGTTGACTACCCGTTGTTGCTTCCGGAGGCCCCGTTACCTGTTGACTGTTGTGCGATCAAGCAGGTTGTTGGAGGCAGCTGCTTGCAGGGACACTCTTCCCTCGCCCACATTAATCATATCTCATTCCCTTCACTGCCTCTGGCTCATGTCTGAGATACTTTCATTCCTATTACATATTCTTGTGGTCACTCTTGCCTCTTCTTGGCTGCTCCTGCCTGTTCTTGGCTGCGCCTGGCTGTTCTTGGCTGCTTCTGACTGTTCTTGGCTGCTCCTGACTGTTCTTGGCTGCTCCTGGCTGTTCTTGGCTGCTCCTGACTGTTCTTGGCTGCTCCTGACTGTTCTTGGCTGCTCCTGACTGTTCTTGGCTGCTCCTGACTGTTCTTGGCTGCTCCTGCCTGTTCTTGGCTGCTTCTGACTGTTCTTGGCTGCTCCTGACTGTTCTTGGCTGCTCCTGGCTGTTCTTGGCTGCTTCTGACTGTTCTTGGCTGCTCCTGACTGTTCTTGGCTGCTCCTGACTGTTCTTGGCTGCTCCTGACTGTTCTTGGCTGCTCCTGACTGTTCTTGGCTGCTCCTGGCTGTTCTTGGCTGCTCCTGGCTGTTCTTGGCTGCTCCTGGCTGTTCTTGGCTGCTCCTGGCTGTTCTTGGCTGCTCCTGGCTGTTCTTGGCTGCTCCTGACTGTTCTTGGCTGCTCCTGGCTGTTCTTGGCTGCTCCTGACTGTTCTTGGCTGCTCCTGACTGTTCTTGGCTGCTCCTGACTGTTCTTGGCTGCTCCTGACTGTTCTTGGCTGCTCCTGACTGTTCTTGGCTGCTCCTGACTGTTCTTGGCTGCTCCTGGCTGTTCTTGGCTGCTCCTGGCTGTTCTTGGCTGCTCCTCTGTTCTGGCTGCTCCTCTGTTTGGCTGCTCCTGCCTGTTCTTGGCTGCTCCTGGCTGTTCTTGGCTGCTCCTGCCTGTTCTTGGCTGCTCCTGCCTGTTCTTGGCTGCTCCTGGCTGTTCTTGGCTGATCTTGCCTGTTCTTGGCTGCTCCTGGCTGTTCTTGGCTGCTCCTGCCTGTTCTTGGCTGCTCCTGCCTGTTCTTGGCTGCTCCTGCCTGTTCTTGGCTGCTCCTGCCTGTTCTTGGCTGCTCCTGGCTGTTCTTGGCTGCTCCTGACTGTTCTTGGCTGCTCCTGGCTGTTCTTGGCTGCTCCTGGCTGTTCTTGGCTGCTCCTGCCTGTTCTTGGCTGCTCCTGCCTGTTCTTGGCTGCTCCTGGCTGTTCTTGGCTGCTCCTGCCTGTTCTTGGCTGCTCCTGCCTGTTCTTGGCTGCTCCTGCCTGTTCTTGGCTGCTGCTGCCTGTTCTTGGCTGCTCCTGGCTGCTCCTGGCTGCTCCTGGCTGCTTCTGCTTGTTCTTCTAGTTTGTGTAGCAGCTTTCCATAAGGCACTGATTCTAGGACTTTATGGCTGCCTTGGAACATGCAGTCTACCCGTCTTTCTCTGTCTTCTACTCTCCTTCATTAACACAGGTTAATTAGTCGGGTTTTCCTGGCCTTAAGCTGGGGTTTGAGGTCCTTAAGGTGTGTTCATTAGACGACAGGTCATAGCTAAGGCATGGGGTTCTGTAGCACAGTGGTCTACGTCCTCTGCTCACACGCCAGAGAACCTGGATTCAATCCCTGGGTACAGCAGAAACGGTTAGGCCCGTTTCCACTGGTTAATAAGTACTGAGGAGTTAGACAACTGTTGTGGGTGGCATCTTGGGGGGAAAGGTTAGTATTTTGCTGCGCAGGCTTCCTGTCCCCGACAATAGTAATTATGTCTCAAGGAGATGTGGGGGGGGGAGGAAATACCGAGGACAGACAACGGGACAATTTTTCGTGTTGCCCAACCTGTTTAGTGTATTGGTCCTGTTATCAACGGTCCGTGTTGAACAAATCCACAGTGATGAAGGTTCGAACCTACATACGGGATGATCCATGTTGTCTCTTTTTTCCCTCTAGGAAGAGGACACACGGGAAGAATGTTAGTACCTTTCTGGCCACCATAAACCGGTTCTAACACCACATTGTCCGAGTCTGACCATGAGGCGAGGAGTGAAGGGTGGACAGGAGAGTGAGGGGAAAGCAAGCTGGACCTGAGTGAAGGCACTACTGGAAAGGCCTGTTTTGTAAATCAGGGGAAAGGTGGCGCTGTTGTGGAATGTGTTTACATCGTCATGTAGAGAGGAAAGTGGCTCATACTGCAGGCCCTTCACTGTTTACACGGAGGACTGAAGAAAATGTATATATGCTGGTTAGCATTGTAAATGTCTGGCCACGTCTGTGGTAGAAAATAATAATGAAAAAAAAAAATACTCATTTTTATTGTTATATAGAGATTCATGGTTTGATTTATTAATGGTTTGATTTATTAATGGTTTGATTTATCAATGGTTTGATTTATTAATGGTTTGATTTATTAATGGTTTGATTTATCAATGGTTTGATTTATTAATGGTTTGATTTATTAATGGTTTGATTTATTAATGGTTTGATTTATTAATGGTTTGATTTGTCAAGTGGAGAACTCCACAAGGGTATTGATGAGGGGTTCGAAGTTGTGTGTTAAGGGTGTTGACTTAAGGCGGCGGCGTCTGGGGATCCGTGCATTGGTTCGAATCCTCATTAGGGCTCTGGTGGGTTTGTTTATTATTATTTA